TGTCGGTAATTAAGCGGTATTATCGGACTTCCATGTCGAACTTTGCGACTGCACCCGATGCCGGAGGGACAAAAAGAGACTACGGTGAAATTCAATCGTCGCGATTGTAGCGCAAGATTTCGCAATTACACTACATTGTGTAATAAAAATACAATTCGCGTGGCGCATCAAAGTTACAATTTTCATTTATGATATTATATGTAAAGAATTATTTTTTTAAATATATTTTGTATTAAATTTAAAATATATATTCTGTAACATATATTTATATATTTATGATATATATTTTATATATAATATATATATATAATATATATATATATATAATAATATAAAAAATAAATATAAAAATAAACACTCTCCAAAGAACGTGAAATATATAATACTTTCGGAATAAAAGAAGACTACTTAATATAAAATATAATGATTAAGTCCGCTCTACATTGAACGAGATGCATATCGCTCGAAATGTGTGAAAATTATCGCAGTTCACGGATTGTATCGTGCGCGTGCATCCCCGTAAATCTTTCGTCCCCGAGGTATTACGATCGGCGGAAACGCAACCCCCGGACGGATAGGTGCGCGTTTCTCGCGCGAGAAAGTGCACGCACACCAGCGAGAAACGCACATGTGTGCTGGCCGAGACGGAGTTGCGGTCTCGGCCGCACGTAAGCTTTTGCGCGCGTGCTTACGCGTATGTATGAATGAAAGAGCGACGGATATGATGAAGGAAACGCGAAGAGAAGGGAGATGGATCGCGTGATGGATTCACGCGTGTGTGCGTTTGTACGTGTACTACGGAAAGATATAGCCGCACGGTCGCGAGTAAGTATACACGAACGTGTGACTTGACATTACAGACGTCCGCAGGATTTTTTCTGGGGGAAAGCACGATTACAATTTTTTTTATTCTTTTCTTCATGTTTTTTTCAGTATGATTTTTATTATTTTTTTTTTTTAATATTAAATACGCAAAAATAATTTTTTAATGATTCCAAGGGGGGCGAATAATGTTCCCTCTTTTTATTATTTTTTTTTTATCCTCTCGATCTTTAATTAATTAATTCAAGTTTCCAGCATTGCGTTCTATAATAAATAAATCTTTTTTGGGGAAGAGAACGCGATTTCTTCTCCGACAAACAATATCGATACCCTATCGATGAGCATCTGTGGGTGTCGAAAAGTGTAAAAGATGGCCAGGGAGAGTAAGAAAGAAGAGACGGAAAGACGCGCAACCACGTGGAGCGAGATGGGGAAGAAAAACGGGGGAGAGGGATCCACGAAGGGAACAACGGGGCCGGAAGTGGTTTCATCTGGCTCCCCCGTCGGTCTGACCTGTTGAACCACCTCGTGACCGGAAGTACACTGTACAAGCTACGGGCATCGTGACGATGCCTTGCCTCATCCTCGTCCCCTTTCTTTCCCTCAGATGCGGTGAAGAAAACAACAAAGGCTTCCTGTTCTGCGTATAGCGGCACCTTATCATCCCGTTGTTTACCCGATTACGCGACCGTGATTCTACATTAGTCGGTGGCTTTGTTCCTTCATTTTCCCGCGTGTTTCTCTCCAGTTTATCTCCAGACATATATCACGATAGATTTTTATAACGTAAAGAAAAGGGAAAGATATTATACGCGCTCCTTGTATATCTCACATTTAAAAAAGAGATGTGTTTGATAAAAAAAAAAAAAAAACGAGGGGGTCCAATACGGAGATAACGATCAATCTTTTAATATAAGAATGTGCGTCAGGAGGAGGCTGCAAATAAATCGAAGGGCATCTGCTTTAATGGCGGAGCGGATTTATTGGCTGCAGCACTTGGCGGGGCAGCCCTGCAAAATCCGGAATAAAGGTGAGATAGGGTTGAGCCAGAGAGAGAGAGAGAGAGAGACAGACGATTCCGCGCGCTCCAACTAACAATGAGGGACATGGATGCGTGGCCGAGACAGGTCCGGGGACCCATTGTGTACCCCGGCACAATACCCTGCAGCCGGGGTATGCGCGCCATAATAATCTGTCACCCCGTATAGCACTCCGATGCGTATGCTCCGCGCCGACAGAGACAGACAAAGAGCGAGAAAAAGAAAAGGAGGGTTGGACCACGCTGTGTATTCGTTCGTTCCGCGACTCGGAATGACATCAGAGACTTTTGCGTAGCACGAGCTCGTTCATGCTCGCGAAGGGTGTCGGAAAAATTGCAGGGCAAGTGTACGTGTGTCTGTAGGTGCGTCATATGTAACAATTTATATCAAACGTAAATAGTGTAAATATGAGAAAGTAAATTAGAGTGCGCGGTTCTTTTTGTAATGGATCTTTCAAAAGCGATTGGGAATATGTTTTATTCAAAATGACAGATCTCGTGAATTAATGAACTCTTTGAAAGGTGAAAGGTACTATTATATAGATAACGAGAGAGTATTTTTTGTCAGCATAGAGTCCGTTCAAATTTTAATTCCTGATATTTAAATAAATGTTGATAAAAAATTCGATTGTTTTTTTTTTTTTTTTTTTTTTTCCCCGAACACTGACGAGTCGGGATACGAAGAGATCGAAGAATGAAAAAAAGGAAGGAAGCGCAGATGACGCGCAATCGCTGCCTCGGCGTGTGCCCAAACGTTATTCGGTATTAGGAAGGTGAACCCCTGAATTAGGGCAGTTGGCAAGTATCCAGATTAGGGGTCTTCCACGCGAATCTCCGTCGAAACTCGGTTATTTCGTGCGGCACGTACCACAGAGTTATCGAACTTATCCGTAAAAAGAAAAAGATTAGCTCGTATATCCGATTTCCGATCGCGATGCATCATTTCGGCTCGATCGAAATTTAATTTTAACTGAAAAAAAATATATAATAACGATGTTTTTTAAATCGGCCAACAGAACCAAAGCACGAAAAATTAATTATTCACTAACAATAAGTTCCATATATACATATAAATTAATCTCGAAACTTACATATGGAGAATTAGGCGCGAAAAATATAGGTTCGAGATTAATTTATATATGGAACTCATATAGTGATCTCAAACCAAGAGATACAGTTCCGAATAATTAATTTTCGCGCTTTGCTCCGTTGGCCGATTTAAAAACATCATATTTATATTGAGAGCCGATAAAAATATTTCTTTCCGATGACAAAAATATATTAATGTATTATATCAAATTTGCAAATATTCGATGATATATAATCATCGATAAATCGGAGAGACTAAGTATCGATAGTCGCGATCTCACGCAAGAGACACTATAGTCAGCAGTCTCCGAAAGTTCCTCGCGTGACTTCTCCGGCGTTTCATTAACTGATTTATCGAATTCGATCGAACCACTAGCACAAAATGTCTTCTGACATGTGCGCGAAATTTCAGACCCGACAAATTAAGTTTAAATATTTCCGCGAGATACACATTACGCGGCCGCAATAAGTTGCAGGTGCATCGCGCGGCTTAATTATATATATCGACAATTCGATTCCTCGATTCTTACTTAGAGTATCCTCATATCGTGAAAAATTTCTCAATAATCGTTTATATTCATTCACTTATTTTTTTATTCACCTCCTCGTATAATTTTATACACACTCGAACGATTTTTGACAAGCGATATCCTTATTAATATAATATCATCGAAGATACGCGAGATAATCCTTTTCCGCAATTTAGATTTCGATTTCCTCCCTCATCCAGATCGATCGATCTTCCGCGGAATCGCTACGCGATGTACGCGTAAGAAACGTAATACGCTTAAAAAGAAGGGCATGACGTCACGCGCGAGGTGGTGGCACCCGGCGCGTGCCGCTGGATCCGTAGATGGGGTACGAATTATCATGACGCTCCCGGCGGCAGCGGGAAGGGAAGGGGGGGGGGGGCGAGCAAGCGAGCTGTGTGTGCCACCGTGGACAACGCGCGGGAACGGGGGGTGCAGGCAGGGGGGCAGGCGCCCCGAGGTGTCCGAGAGCGAGGCGCGAGTGGCTTAGGGTGTCGTACGCAAGGGACTACGCACGCACGGTGGTGTGGAGGTGGGCGCGTGCAGCCGGCCTGCAGCTGCCTCTTCGCGGCAGCCCCCCTTTCCTTCCCCCTCCCCTCCGGCCCGCTGTCGCTGCCCCCCCCTCCCCCCGCGCGCGGTCCCCCCGCATCGCGCCACCGGCGCAGCCGCCATCCACCACCCCTCTGATTCGGTGAGGGCACAACCCCTCCCGTCTGCCCGCGCCGAGCGAGGGGGGAGCCGGCGGGACCACAATTATAAGTAGGGGTGCTCCCGGCCTCGCTACCTCCAGTCGAGGGTTGCACTTCGTCGCGGGCACGCACGCGCGCGCGCGATTTATATTCAACCCCGTATACACGCGCGAAAGTAGGAGGGAGTTAGGAGCGGTATACCGCCGCCGAGAGCGTTTTGACGAGTGGTGGAGAAGAACCGGAAATATATTTCGCATAAATATATATATATGTAAAAATTTATTTTTAAAATATATATATATATATATATATATATACACGCGTCGATCCCCCCTTGAGGGAGCGAGCGGGAGCTCGCCATCTGTCAGTTACCCGCGCCGGTACCTCGCGAGTGCCCTCGGATGCCGCGGTGTGGCGTTAGTGCGACCGATTTAGTGACGTGTATTCGAATCAACACCGGTGGATCCCGAGGGAAAAGACTCGAGAGAAGGGAAAAAGCGCGCGATAAAATCTACAGTTCGACGGAAAAGCAAGAAAAAAAGAGGATTCCTTCCAGCACGCGACTCGCTACATCTTGGCGCGTGGTGCATCTTCAACATCATCATCATCATTTCTTGGTGGTTTCACGCTTCGACGACGACGACGCCGGTTCGCCGGAAAGAGGATCGGTACTAAACCGACTCGACCACCCCTGTCAGCATCCCCTCGTTCATCCCCTTCCTCGGCGAGGAGACGGGCGCATTGACTCCCGTTTGATCCTCGGGACTCGCGGACATCCTTGGCTCCACCCCCACCCCGCCGCTTCCCCCACCACCGCCCTCCCCCCCCTCTTCGCACGCGGCGCTGCTGATCGCCAAGGGAGTATTCCTTGCGGCGCGCCGATTCAGTTCGTGACACGTCGTTGCTGCGACGGTTGGCGGAGGACGAGAGCGTCGTAGCTTGTCGTTCCGGCTTGTCGTTTGGCAGAATTTTTTCTTTTTCTTTTTTTATTTCGAATCAAGCACGACGGTTTCGTCGCGTTCGTAAAGGGGAAAATAGAAAAAAAGGGAGAAGAAGAGGAATATCGATATACAAGAGGAAAAGAGAGAAAGGAAGAGAATCCTTCTACCTTTAATACACCACCACCTATGCGCGGCGGAGTCTATCGTCCCACGGATATACTGGAATAAAGTGTGTCAACGGCAAAGTGTGTACAAAAATTATAAGTGAGATATCGGATCTTTTTGCGCACCGGAGGGAGAGGAGAGGGAGATAGTGTGTCCCGCGCGAGTGCAAAAAAAAAAAAAGTGGTGAGACAGAGTTAAAGAGAAACAACCCCTGATTCCCGAGAGTGCGTCGCGCTTCCGCGACGGCCCGCGTACAGGGAAGCCACCACCGGAAGACCTCGGCACGATACCGCGGCGGCGATACGCGGCTATGCAGCAGCGGCCCGGCGGCGCCGCCGCGAGCAGCAGGTAACGTCGACGGCGACGACGACGACGACGACAAGCGCCGGGCGGCGCGTGAAACATCACCGTGGGATAAGCGACGCGTCAACATGTGGACCACGATGCTCGTGTGGACGGCCGCCGTCGTTCTCATGCCGACGCCCCGAGCGGTAAGTTTCGATTCTTCTTTTTTTTTTTTTTGTTCTTCCGATTTAGATTTAGCCTCTCTTTGTCGGTGTAGAGGAATTCGGCGTTTCCGTAAACATTTTTACGGTTGATGTATTTTTATATAGCTGTGTTCTCAGTAGAGTAGCAACGAGCAACTTTTGTTGCTGAATGTTTCGAAATTATTTGAATAATGTATCGATTTGCGATTTTTCGACGCGCGTTGCTTATTTTTCTTAAGCCGTGTTCTCGCTGAAGCAGCAACGAGCAACTTTTTTGTTGCTTATCGTTGCTGAATGTTTCGAAATAATTTGAATATTTCAATTTGTGACATTTGTTCCTTTACGACTTATCGACACGCGTTGCTAATTTTTCTGAAACTTCGTCTTCGCTGGAGCAACAATAAGCGATTTTTGTTGCTGAATGTTTCGAAATAATTCGAATATGTCAATTTGCGATTTGTTGACGCGCGTTGCTAATTTTCTTTAAACTATGTCTTCACTGGAGCAACAACGAGCCACTTTTGTTGCTTATTGTTGCTGAATGTTTCGAAATAATTCGAATATTTCAATTTGTTCCTTTGCGATTTGTTGACGTGCGTTGCTAATTTTTCTTAAGCCATGTCCTCACTGAAGCAGCAACGAGCAACTTTGTTGCTGAATGTTTCAAAATAATTTGAATATTTCAATTTACGACATTGTTCCTTTGCGACTTATTGACACGCGTTGCTAATTTTTCTGAAAACTATGTCTTCACTGGAGCAACAATAAGCAACTTTTGTTGCTGAATATTTCGAAATAATTCGAATGATATGTCAATTTGCGACATTGTTGACGCGTGTTCCTAATTTTTTCTTTTATCTTTACCGCTTCGAAACACGCAACAAACGGCGACTTTTATTGCTGGCAACGAGAAACAGTAAGGAACTTTAAGAAACTTTCGGCAATAGCTAGCGCAACTTCTTTAAGAAACACAAAACATGAACAAAAAGTCGGTCGTTGCTCCAGCGAGGACGCAGCTTATCCGGTAGTGGTTGGGAGGCTGCGATTCGTGCGGTTCTTTGTCGGAGATGATGAATAACACTCGACTTGTACTCGGGCAAACAAAAGTATCCTAATGTCGATCAGGCGGCGAGAAGTGTAAAATGCGAGACGATAATAATTTCCGATTCGCGGAAATGACGAACACGCGCGGAATAATAGTTCGCTCGAAATATTCTAGTATTGTATATACGAATGAAGAGAGAGGTTATCTCGTAAATCGTGCGTAGTACTCGCCGCGTGTTGTCGTAATTATTAGGGCGAGAGGTTTGTCAACTTGTGCCGGTGCTCGACCTTGGCATCGCGATTCGATGAATGAGTCTGGCTCGATAATGTTCGATACTCGGAATAAATGTCCATACATATACATATATATATATATATATCGCTCGCATTTTCCTTTATATATATATATATAAGATGCGAAAGATTGGAATAGCATCGACGTAATCTCGCTCGCGGTTTCATAACTTTATTCGTAACGTAAACTCGGACCTATCCGCATTAAAAGCAACCGAGCGCGTTTTATGTTCGCTTTGATGCTATCAAAAACTAACCGCCCTCAACTTACAATAGTAATTCGCATTAGCGCTAAAATCATTGACGAAGAAAATAGCTCTCGCGAATTTTTTTTTTTTTTTTATTTCCTTCGATCTCTTTATCTGTATTAATTTCATACGAATCGAAATTTGTATTTTGTACTTTTTTTCTCGTTTATAGATAAGTTTAGGAATTGAATTCTTTACATCTCAAATAAGAAATAATTAGTTTTTTTATACAAGTACGAACTGATCGCTTAAAATATCAAAGTGGATATTGGATTGAAAATTGAGCGCGAAAGCGAAAGAAAAATTTCGATCGGGGTTTATCAATGACAGCTTGTTCTGATTCCTACGTGAAGATTGTATTCTTGCTAGATTCTAAGATTCTTCAGTCAGAATCTTGGGAGAAACTCTTCATTCTCGGCGGTAGAAATAAAATATTTTTGAATTTATCCCGCGTCTGACAGCGAGTCGCGATATCAAGAAGAATCTTCCTTTTCTTTTTTTTTCTGTAGATTCTCGGCAATTTAAGTTTCTCGAAGCCGCGTTTCTTATAACGTGCGACGTGAATGCGACGAGGAGGTAGCGCATTTTTCGCGTATTATACGGCCCGTTTCTTCTCTCTCTTTCTCTCTCAGTTTCCTCTCCGCACGGATTCCGAGGGAATTCTTCCTGGGAGAGATGTCTCACCCCTTCTCTCGCGTCTTCCTCTGCTCTGTCTCTTCGTCTGCTGCGGATCCTTCGTCGCGCACGACTCTGCCTTATCTCTCGGCGATGCCGAGACCCGCTATTCGCTGAAGCACGCAAAAGTCAGTTTCTCGAATCCTCCCTAAATCGAATTTCTCCAATTTAATTAATCTTAAAACAATACATGCGCTTTTTCACGTAATTCATATTGACAGTCTTCGGGGTACGATTTATCATCATTTTATTATTTATTATTACGCATTTGAGAGATGGTGCAGTTAATTTGATCTAGTTCACAATGTTCCATCGAGATACTCTTCTCTTCTCTTTTTAGAGGATTTCTTTCTCTTCGAACGCGCATATAAAATTCTCTTCTCTCTGATACTCCACAGTAAGACCGACCCTAACGGAGGATTCGGCGGCGCACGCAACTCTAAATCTGGAGATGCACTCTTTTAGAAGTGTCTAACCCCGCTTTTCTATCTCCCGGCTTCTTTCTCTCTCTTCCCCGATGGTGTTTCTGGCGATGGTTTGAAACCGCCGCATTAAGTTCTTAACGTCTTAAACACTTATTCCCGATATATCAGTCGCGTATAGGATTCGGTCGGCGGTTCTTTGTGACTTCGCTACAAGTAGGAAAGGTCGTACAATTCCGATCAATGGGGGAAACGCCACTTTCGAAGGCGACTGAAAGGTGACCCGGGCGGTCAAAATTCGTTTCTGACTAATTTGCATCGTCCCTCTAGTCTACACGTCTGTGTGTCCGTAAATACGCGTGGCGGCCATTCTCCGTTCCCAGAATAACTTTCCAGCGCGCCAAAAATGAGACTCCTCGGTGCGTGCTCGTTTAATCGTTTACTTTCGCGAGATGCGAACTAACGGGACGGAGATTCGCGACCAAGTGCACATATATCGGCTGTGAAAATCCCGTTGCAAATGTAACGCGCGATATGGAGAGTGTCGTGCGAAGGAAGAGAGACCCGTTCTTATCACTCGAAGGATATCCTCCGCGTTGATATTCGATGTTTAAGTGAACGAAGGCTGCGTTTAGCGTCAAACAAAAGTACATGGTATTTTTTTTATTACAATATAAGAATATATAATGAAAAGTAATATCATCGAGAACGAAGCGTGTGAGCAAGCCTTTATTATTATTATTATTATTAGTTTTAAAAATAATTGTCTCGCGGTGCAGCTTTTACATCCGAACGTTTATTTATATCGTGCAAGGTCGCGTGAAGAATCTTATATTCCAAATTTACAGCCTATGTGTGACATGGAAACTTGACTCATTTTTTCACGACCACGCAAATCATATATATGAAAGAATTTGTTTTCTTTCTCTCAAAATTCCGCCGACGTGAAAAATGACGTTTGTAATAATCAGCTGATTGAAATATGCGGTTCGATATATCGCACACGAGTATTCTCGCCTTTCCGATGGCGAACCGCGAATTTCTCAGTGGCAATCGACGCGCGAGAGATACACGATCGCGAGACACGAGGAGTTCGATAAGAGGAAAGCCAATGCCGAGCTCATCGTTCGGATCTCGCTTAAGGAACACTCGCTCTCGGCTATACAATATCTCGTGGGAAGCTCTGTTTCAGGAGCGCACTCGTGTGCGCGTGTTTTCCTTTCTACACACATGCACTCGTATACACTCAAACGGGGGGTTGATCGCGTTCACTTGGTGGTCGAGCACTCTCGGCGTCGCGACGACGATGACAGGAAAAATGGGAGACCCGTATTGGACGTCGGCGCTGTTTACACTGATATAAAAACTAAAAACGATGTCCGGAGGGCAAATGTATATCGATAGCTCGGGGAGAAATCGTTGAACCCCCGACTGGCCGTGTGTGCTTTGTCTATTTTTTCAAATAAAAAATTGTCCCTTTGTTTTATGTTTCGTATTTATACAGCGAGCTTTTTTTATTTTTCTCAATCAAATAATGTTGTAAAAAAAAAAAAAGAAACGGATAGGGGAGTTATATTTTACACTTAACCATCTTTCGATGCGCAACAATTGCGCCAGTTAATCGCCGAAAAATGCGCCCTTTTTCTCTTTGCGATTCTGCGAGTTGGTCCTTCACTCGGCAATTTTATTCAAGCAGCGCTTTCGCGAGCCAACTAGAGCGTTGATGCATTTACGAGCTTGGTCGGCTTCTTTTTGCAGACAGTTTGCACCTACATGGGTCTCAAAAAGAAATATATATATATACTCCTAGGTTTTAGTAATAGCACCCTGGCAGTTAATGAAATGACGAGAAGGGAGAAAATAATTGATTCTTTGAATAAGAAATAAGAAATATTGTTTGAATTGATATTAAAGTTTTGTAGGTACATTTCTCTGAGAGATAAACGCACAATAAACCTTCCTTCATTTTTAGTACATTGTACATAGGCATTAGAGAAAAAGTGATTCTGCAATTTGTTATTTCGAACGTTCGCTATAAGCCACTGACCACTATTTCCGCTTCTATAAGGAGATGGATAGAGAGAGAAGCGATCGACTAAACTGAGCGTAACATGAATCGACACGAAGAAAAAGCTAAATCGTCGAATCTGCGGTAAATCGCGGCGTATTTTCGTAATTCGATTATAATGGAATCTCGGGATGCTGTGCGTTCTCGTGCGCAGAGAGAGAGAGATAGAGATAGATCGAGAGAGCGACGCGCGCGCGCTTTTTGTCGGATCGACGACTCGCTTCTCTCCTCCTGGGAGACGTGCGTGACACGTCCGCAAAAACGCGCGCGCACACGTGCTCCTGCGGCGTTTCACGTCGTGGGGCACGAGACGACGATGACCCCCCGTCTCGCGGGTTTCGTTTGATATAGCGAGTCTCCCGTTCATGTGTCTCATGACGATTCGCCGCCAACTGTCGACCAGACCGCCGTTATTAAGATTGCATTACGATCCCACGCGGAGCTATTAAAGATACTCTCGCGGATGCCCTGCCATATTTTCGACGCCCCCCGAAAACATCTTTTTGCCATTTTCCATTCTTGTGATTAATCGCGAATTCGGTCGGATGCACTAGTGCATATAAAGGTTTATCACACACAAGTTCACAATGACACGAGTAATTAAAAAAGGAAAATCATTTATAGTAAGAGCTATTATTATCATTATTCATATTGAGCAACAATAATAATAGCTCTTACTATTAATTATTTTCCTTTTTTTAATTACTTGTGTCATTGTGCGATAAATCTTTACATGCACTCATTGTCAGTGCGCACTAGTGCATCCGACCGAATTCGCTATAAGATTAAGCTTTTAATTATATAATGCAGACACAGTTTCAACATTTTTAAAAATTTATTTTTTATATTTATTTTTCTGAATTTTCAATGGATAATTGTTGCGGATTTAATCAATTTAATATGTTGCTTAAAAAATCCAAGTTACCTTTTAATTAAAAAAAAAAAAAAAAAGTCTGGTTTCTTGGAACTTTCTGAATTTTAATATATTAATATTTTGAATCCTTTTTAATTCGTGCTGCGTCGTTCTCGGAAAACGACGTGCGTGCGCTCGCTCGAGGGAATTAAAATGCGTGTGTGTGTTTCACAGGTGAACGCCTCGGGGATGTTCGAGCTGAGGCTAAAGTCCTTTGTGAACGAGTACGGCAAGGACAGCCTGGGCAAGTGCTGTTCCGGCAGCGCGTCCAGGACGGGCGAATGCTCCGGGGTATGCAAGACGAGGTTTCGGGTCTGCTTGAAGCAGTACCAGGTGAAGATCGACACGACGTCGCCGTGCACGTACGGCGACGTCGTGACGCCCGTTCTCGGCGAGAACGTGGTTAACCTCACCGCGAACGCGGCCCTGCCGAGCTTCAGCAACCCCATCAGGTTCCCGTTCGAGTTCACGTGGCCGGTAAGTCCTTACATTTTGACGTCAAAACCGTTTAACCCTTCTGTCAATGAACGGGTAATTAAATTATTATATAATAGGAACGATATATTTAATTCGACCCAAACTAGTTTGAAAAACAGATGGTCGAAACGTTGTGAAAATAAAATAAAAATTTCTTGGCTAGTTTGGGTCGAATTAAATATATCGTTCCTATTTTAAATACCACTAGCGACGTTTTAAGTATTCAATTTGATTTTACTATATAATATATATGTTTTGTTAGATTCAATATATATTTTAATTTAAATAAGTGAAATAATTTAAATAAATTTAATATATTTTTATATGTTTAATTAAGAAAATAATATTTAGTTTGGAAGGTTTAGTTAAGTTAACAATTTGTTTTCATTGTGCGGACATATATTAATGATGCAGTGAAAAATTACGCATTGACGGAAGGGTTATTGCAGTGTCTTAATTGCGATATTTGAACGAACAAAATTTCTTATTTGATCAAATTATAATATTTAATGAAATATTCTTAATCCTGGAACACACTCTTTTTAGTCTTTTTAATATTTTATTTTTCTCTTGTCGATCAAATTAATTGCATTTCCATATATAATCTCTTTTGAAAATTAAATGAAGAACGAATCTACATAAGCAGTAATGATGAAACCGTGGAAGTGTTCCGGGATAAAAATTTTGAAAGATGATTTTAATTTGGCGACAAATTCTTTATCGAGAGCAAGTTTATCAAATTTTCTACGATCGATTTGTAATAATGACAAGACACCTTGTATCTTCAAAATAATAATCGTGATACATCGTCTACCCTCTTCTGTACGCGCGTAGGATGAACCCGAGGGATATATATCATCGTCGAATTATACGCGATGATTTATAAACTTTCACAAAACGCTCGGGAACAACGTCTTGCGATAGGTTTTACGAGAGGCGTTGGAGATTTTTTGCCGTCTCGGATTAGCATAAACGTTTCCAATGTGGGAAGTGAGAAATGTCGACGACCGTGGTTAATGGATAACTTTGCATGTTCCATAAAAAAACGTGATATAAATTATAAGAAGCGAAAGAAAATCCGCCAATATATTTTTTTCGTAAACATTTACGCGACGCCTTTATACGATTAAAGGACGAACCGTATAAGGACTGACAATGAATTACCTCGACATAGTATTTTTCATTTTTAAAAACAAATAGATTTATGATATATAAAACAAACGCATTTATTATTATTTTATCGAGTGGTTGCCCTTATTGTTGATCCCATTTAATGGCAAAAATAAGACGACAGAGGTAGAAGAAAAAAGAGGGGAAAAAATGAAAAAGAACAATGCTTTTTCCGTTCGTTCGTCCGCGCAGCTGGTCACGGATGCTAATCGGAACCGTATTTACCTGACGGTCTCGTTCCAGCAAACGCCGGAACAAAGATAAGGGACACGCGCGAGAATTGCGCGAGAAATTACGCACGCGAAAACCAAATCGCGCAAACTCTGTATGGATATATGTACATACACGGGTACTTGATGTTATCTTGCGTGAAAAAGTCTCGTTCTCGGTTCGGTTGCATATAATCGGTCAATTAATTAACGCAGAAATTGTTGGTGAATCTCTCGAGATCGAGAGAATCCGTTCGGTTCGTATAGATTTCCGAAGATCGCCAATTAACCCTGAACTTTCGTGGATGACATTAGTCAACCACGTGCAATTTTTTTTTTTTTCATTTTTCTTATGTGTCAATAGTCTTTTTAAAATTGAAGTTTTTAATAGCTAATTCATATATTTATATATTCATGACATATACAAAAAGTATTAATATGTATAATTAATCGAATATATTTTATATCTTATTGTGGTATAGATATTAATATTTTTATTATGACAATTATTAATCAGAGACACATTACCCCACGATTACCACGATTTTTGCGGTAAATTTCAAGAGAAAATTCTCTCTCTGTGTGTCTTTATATTTAAATTCATTTTTTAACAGATGTCATCCATGTGTCATTTAACAGCGCGTCTATAATACTCTAAACAAATTTTTTTTTTTTATATATCACCGCCAGACTGAATTACGCACGTCGATTACTCGACGTTGAACCGAAGTATGTCGACGGGTTGAAAGTACGTTGGGGCTAGATGTTTACCCGGGCGGTCACCCTACTTTTCGATGCACGTGCGATGCGTGCGGGAAGTGCCGGCCAGGAAGACGTTGCACGCGTCGCCGGTTGCATTTGCAACAGGTCGGCAGCGGCGGTGGCGGTGCAGTACTTTGATTTCCCGTCTCGCCCGACGCGCGCAATTAACGAAAAGGGCGGGCGTTAGTTACGTACTTTCTATCGTCTCTCCGCGTGCGTTGCTTTCTTCTCCCTTTTTTTTCCTTCTCGCGTGCGCGCGACGTGCGTCGACGCAGGATCGACGCACTCTTCTCGCATCTGCTTTTTCCCTTCCTACTTTCGCGCGCTGCTGCCTGCCACTGCGTTCATACAGACAGGTTGATTGTGTTCGAGGAACAAGAGAGAGAAAGAAAGAATATATAGGGGTTGCGTTTGCCACGCAGCCGTCGGTGCAATGATGAGAGAGAGAGGGCTTAAAAAAGAGAACAACAAGAGGGAGAGTAACACTTGTCTCTCCCTCTTGCTGGTGCTGATGCTGCTGCTTCACGATGCTTTGGGCGCCGAAATTCACGACTTGTCTTAAATGCATGGAAAATCGGAGCATGAGTAATATGAAGATCCAGAAATTATCCACTTCTCGATGTAGCAGATGTATACTTATTTGTAATTTATTCGAGAAATATCAATGGCATAAATAATGTGACATTTTTCTCCATAAAATTTTTCGTTATTATTATTATTCATTATGCATTTTATAACTTCATGTAAAGTTCCTAGCCATGACCGATGTTATGCATTTAACGTCGATGATAAGACGCGATAATTCGATCTTGAGACGATATAAACATTTTCAAGGCTGTATACGTAATAAAAATTTAAACATGCTTTACAGTATTCATTATTGGAATGTATATCTGATCGTGCAGATTGTTTGTCAGTGAGATTTATATACATATCTTCGCTTGATTTAAAGTAAACACGCGGAGAGAAGAAGTATAAATAATACTCGAGGGGGAGGTCCGTGAAAAGTCCGTGAGGGCGGTCAGACGGAGGCAAAGAAAGGAGATTCTTTTTTTTTTTTTTATTTTTTTTAACGGATGACTCAATGAGATCTGGCCATTGTGCTAAAACTAACAAGCGACGCGTCGACGTGCAGCAGCATCCTTGGGCGTACGTCAATCCTCTCGTGTCGGCGCTACTCGCACATTTTCTGACTACGAGACCCGTCGTTCTTGCAGAACCGCCGTTGCCGCCGGCAGCAGATGGCCGGGGCCTCTTTTGCGCCTCTACACACTTCCCACGTACTCTCCTTCTGCCTTCTGTGCGCGCTCTCTCTCTTTCGCTCTCCTTGTGGCTCTCTCGCGAGCAAAGTTAAATTTACTAACCCATATGGCGCCCCTCGCGTCTCTAACGAGCGCTCGTCTCTCTCGTTCTCCATCTTTTTTCCTTCTCTTTGCTTTTATGTACGTATATAATTTTTTTTTCAGCATCTGCATATTTAAAAATTTTTTTTTAAATTTATTTATTAATTATTTTTTAGCATCAATCTTTCCTTTGGGATATATATGTATATTTCAAGAATAAATTTTAAGTATATATACATATATTTATAATTAATAAATATATTTTTCTTCGCTACATATAGATAAATAATATATTAATAATATTATAGATAAATAATATTATAATTAATAAACATTGAATATATACGTATATATGTTTGCATATACCTATATGGTATATATTAATACACGCTTTTACGATATACTACATTTGTTTGCCCCTACACTAGATATCGCAAGTATATTCAGCAGACGAGACTTTTGACCCGCGCGAAGGCAAAATAAGTCTGCTTTCTCTCTCTTTCTCGGCCGGATGATATACGGGCACGTGCGTTCCTCGTTCATTTACACCGGCGCGGCGGACTTGTGAACCCGCAGCTCCGCGACCGATAGGATTATCGCGCACCGAATGTCGAAATGATCCCGAGAGCAGCGGTTGCCGATGCGGTCGGAAGAGGACGGCGTTTGATGTAGCGGCGTCAAACTCTCGACTATATACTCCTCTCGAATTCTCGGAAGACGATCCGACACGCGGTCGCAGTTCCGCGGATGGATCTCTTTTTGGCCGGTTTCCTGACCGATTTTCGGCGGGGACGGACGGGGCTCGTTCCGGATATCGTCGGGCGCGAAATAGTTGGAAACCGACGTAAGCCCCGCAATCGCTATTTAGAGTACTCGATTTATTTTCGTAGCTTGAGAGAGAAAAGCGCGCGAGAAGCGACTTCGACTTCTATATTCTAAGTCTCGGTAAAATCGGTTTCGCATCAAGAGTTATATTAATAAGTATGCGTGCGCGTGGGGAGAAGCGATGTTATTAAAAAATTTCATTCCACTAGTCAATATGACGACTGCGATTTAATTACATCACGGATAGATACTATTTTTATCGCTAATTAACCTGTTTTTCGATTTTTTATTGAAGCTTATCGCGACAAATATCGTTACAAAAACGGCTCGTTACTTATAACTCGCTCGTTTCTGCGAGCGATTTTACGACGCGACGTATCTATATAACGAGTCGACGGCAAAAAAAGTGAATTAACTCGTTGTTACCGCGGCTGATTACGGCCGAGTTCGCAATTAGTAAAATGACTCGCTCGGATCGTGTGTGTATTATATATACGCGCGAGCATTAGACGAGCAAGAACCGATAAAATACACTGAAATAACATAGTTGCGTGCTACGCGCGTAAATCACTTCCGTGCCGCGCGAATTAACAGCCTTCTTCATCGTTCACCATCCCCGGACAGGTTCATTAAATGTCCTCGCCTAATTAACGGCTCGAGTCGCGACGAAAATTCAGTAACGTGTGCGCGA